ATTGTCATTATATTTGCACATCCATTTGGTGATGCTAGTGGCACAGAAAATTACACACCTTTAAACACTCTCATCAGCTTCACAGGTGTAAAACATGTAAAGCAATGATAACTTTACAAAACACATTCACAGCATAGAAATGGCAGGCCTTGTTCACTAGAGCACTGTGTACACTGAAGGTTGAGTTGATGGAGCATAGCTCACAGCCATGATGCAGGATCTGTGGCTCAGGGCTCCATGTTGAAGAGTGGGCGGACATTGGCTGTCAATAGCCTTTATGCACACTGAACAAGAGATGGAAGGAATAATCCAGAGGGAGAGAGGAAAGAGAGATAGCAATATCACAGCAATTCACGTGTCAAACAGAGAGAAGCAGAAAGGAAAGAGGAGAGAAAGAGAGCTAAATCAATACTGTTTCATATGCAGTGCATGTAAAAGTCAGATCTTGCAGGACAGGAGGGGTAGGATGAGTGGGGAGGAGAGGAAATTTCAGACACAAATAGGTACAGTGGTATTGGTGTCCCGAAGGAATTCATTCTCATTCTCCATATCAGTTACACATACACACACACACACACAAACACAGGGCACTGTGAATACCACTGCCTCAATTAGATCTTGCATTATTCACAGAGCATTAAACCCCAACAGCATAATGCAATTGTTTGGTATTACTACTGTGTTATTTTCAAAATTATGCAAGTGGTTACCAATGATTCTGAGCAAAGTTCTTTGACAGTGAAAATGGGCTGAATATTTTTAAAAGGTTACGTGTTTAAGTTTGAGCTTACTGCAGTGATGTTAGGATAGCACTTAGGTAACATTTAGATTGCAGTGCATTGATGTTTAGGTTAGCGCTCAAACAGTGTTCAAGTTAAGAGCCATGACATTTACATTAGCATTCAGACTGTTTAGGTTCAGAGCAGTGCTGGTTACGTTAGCATTCAAATGACGTTTAGGTTTCATGCAGTGACATTTACATTAGCATTCAGAATGTGTTTAGGTTCAGTGCAGTGACGTTTATGTTAGCCTTCAGAATGTGTTTAGGTTCAGTGCAGTGACATTTACATTAGCATTCAGAATGTGTTTAGGTTCAGTGCAGTGACGTTTATGTTAGCCTTCAGAATGTGTTTAGGTTCAGTGCAGTGACATTTACATTAGCATTCAGAATGTGTTTAGGTTCAGTGCAGTGACGTTTACGTTAGCGTTCAGAATGTGTTTAGGTTCAGTGCAGTGACGTTTACGTTAGCGTTCAGAATGTGTTTAGGTTCAGTGCAGTGACGTTTACGCTAGCGTTCAGAATGTGTTTAGGTTCAGTGAGGTGGCTTTTATGTTAGTGTTCAAACGATGTTTATGTTCAGTGCAGTGGCATTTAAATTAGCGTTCAAAATGTGTTTAGGTTCTGTACAAGTAATGGTTATGTTAACAGACTGTGTTTTGGTTCAATGCAGGTCATGCATGCATGAATTAATTAGGAGCTATTGTCATTATGGAGGGAACGTCGGTTTTGTGCTCAAACGATGTTTAGGTTAAGCACAGTGACATTTCATTGAGTGTTTATGCAGTGTTTAGGTGACTTATGAGTTGTTGTTATTCAGTGTTAGGTTGTGTAAAAAGCATATGTTTATGTAAGGTGACTCCATTAAGCTAAAAGCTCTTAATCAGTTCCTATATGCATGACCTTCCTTTGTTTCTTCTACCCTTCACTCTCATTGGTTCAGAAACCCTAAGTAACAGCGGACATGGAGAGAGAGAGAGAGAGAGAGTGTGTGTGTGTGTGAATGACAGAGAGAAAGATAGAGTGAAGGAAATGCCACAGTTTTTGTCATCTAAGTGGAACTCTGAGAGACAAGAGCTGTGAACAGTTATTGATGGCGTTTCAGGATGGCCAAAAAAAAAAAGAGGAAGGCAACTCTTTGCAAAGTTCTAGAAAGTTCACTGAAATACACCCAGAGCATCTTGCCCAGGCAGATGCCAGCCAGTAGAAAAGACACCACTTTGATACCTGTCCAACTGTGATGACATCACATCCAGTCCACACAGCAGGGGGCAACAGATGGTTTGTGTCATCTGCTATCTACCACGGGTGCTTTCTAAAACATCTTCCGCCTCGCAAAAGATGTGGTGATGGAAGATGAAAAGATGAACACATAAGAGCGGGAATAAAAGTGAAGGAGGTTTCTTTCAAATGTTTCCATGACAACGGCATCTGCCTGGCCAAATGAGGCTGTTATTATTTATGGTTACACATCTGTGCATGCATGAACAAGTGAGATTTGTTTTCTAAACGACATCTGAGTTACAATTATTAATATAGGCCAAAGCCACCTGTGATTTTATGCACAGTTTTGGACCAGATTAGGATCTCAGAAGTTGGGAGTTTCTGTCGTCAGGATGAGCGTCATACAAGGTCATAAATAAATTGTACTTTGAAAGCGCTAAACTGAGTTACAAATGCCTGTTGTTGATGTTTAATATGAAAATAAACATAATTTGGTTCTATCAGCTGTGTATTTTATCTTATTTAACTATAATCATGATAGCTGCATTGTAACTGTCGCATCATGTGCACTTTATGCACACAAACATCTGCATACAAACCACACCTGGGACTAATTAAACAAAAATGCTGATGCATTGCCATCAACTCATTCAGTGCATTTATTTTATTCAAACTTCTTAAGTACTGAAGTGATGCATATTGACTGGGGGGTAAATTTCCCTCTCAACTTCCTGTTAAGCAATGTATTGATGTTCCCTTATTCCCAATGTCAATGCCCTTCGGACTGAACATAAATGTTCCCTTTGGATTGGAATCTCACTTAATATGACAAAATACCTTGTGAAGTCCACTTCACAGCACGCTTATGGTCAACAGGAATGCACCTTCAGACTCAGCCTACCCAGTTCTCAGGTTTGACTTGGACTTAAATGAGCTGGTCTTGACTACAACACTGCTTATTCCTTTTACATCAGATGAGATACTATTATTCCACTAAATCCATAATGGAGCCGCACCAGACAGTGAAACAAGAAATATAACTTTAGCTACAGTACTCAACAAAGGTCAAAATAAAAAAGGAGAAGAGTAAAAAATAATAATAATATACCGCAATCACAGACTATCCTATCAGAACAGGATTAAAATTCTCAGAGAACACTTGAGTCACTCAAAAAACGGCAGGTAATTTTCTCTGTATTTTTTTTTTCAAGGTTGTGCGAGAAAAACACAGACGTGTTTGATGCGAACCGGACTAAAATATACACAAAGTACATTTCTGAAACATGAATTTACCTGACTTCCGCTGGGAAAACTAGTCTAGTCCTTATTGGGTCTTACTCCATGCATACTCACAAATACACACCACAAAGAAGGAAATACAATGAAATCGGAGAAGAAAATGGATGGACAATGCAATAACTACATTTAGAAGCCATCTAATGTAGCTTAATTTAATTGATTTGTGTGTGTGTGTGTGTGTGTGTTCTGGCATCAATCCGTGTTGCACTCCTTGTGATTTTGATCTTGACGAAGGTCAAACAACAGGCAGTTTAACTCACTCAAAGGCATGAAAGCAACTCATTCCCTTTCCATCATTTCACTCCTCATCAGGCTGCCAGCTTTTCCTTTTTTGTTTCCACCTTTCTTCATCCTCACATCACAAATCCATAGAGAGCATAAGCCATTTAACGGCACATTACCATAATGCATCGGACGCTAAAGCCAAACATTAGCTCACTACCACTTGCTCCAAATTTACATGTAACATTAAGCCACTACAAATGTGCATCACATATTTTGTTTTCAGTCATTCACTGCACTGCACCCCTGCAGCTTTGCTTGTAAACAAAACCCTGGTGTTCTTATTACTGAGCTAAAAGACTTGGTAATTACAGACAACAAAATGACCTCACAAACAAACAGTGTCTCAGACACACACAATTCACTTAAATGATTGAGCAGACAGAGTGGGTGGCAGAGATGAAAAAATGTAACATCTACACAAGAATATCTTAAGGATTTCAACAAGCTTTTTAAAAATATATAGTTAACACTTTGTTTTGATAGTCCACTTTAGACATTCTAGTAACTATAAGCTCATATTGTGTTAAAACAACCAAATTTCAGATACTTGCCTGGCTCAAAATTTTTATTTTGTTAATACTTTTCTTAAGAAAGACAAACATAAATAGTGAATAAAGCCAAAATATTAAATGTCATGAATGTATATTTACTAAGTAATCCACTATTTTATAGAGGGGGTCAGAATACAATTTTCAAAAAATAAAATTTTTGAAGCCAAATTAAAGGGGGTAAAAATGACTTTAGAATGATGGTGGCATCATTGTTATTTTTACACAGTGATTGGTAGGTCTATTAGTAAGATCTGTTGCATTATGGTGACATTTCAAAAATGGGGGAAAAGCACTTTTTTTAACGAAATTTGCATGCCTTTAACTCAAGAATAAACATTTCTCAAAATCAAACTTTTTAGCCAGAAACCTCTGGTTGAGTTAACACGGAATGAGCCTATAACCAACTTTTCAACTACATGTCAACTACCAGTCATTAGAGTATTAGTAGACCGTTTGCTTAATATCTGCTAACACTTCATTTGGATGGTCCCCAACAGACATTCTACTGATTATAACTAACTTTGCAAGTACATCAACTTATTCTACTAACCCTAACCCTAACCTAGCAGTCTACTAATAGTCTAATGAGAGTTAGTTGACATGTAGTTGCAAATTAATGAGAGTTAGTTGACATGTAGTTGCAAAGTTATTTATAGTTAGTAGAATGTCTAAAGTGAACTATTAAAATCAAGTGTAACCAAAATATAACACATGAAAGTACAATTCACTATATGTTGCATATTGTTGGGATAGAAAAGAGAAACACAAAGATTTTCTCATGAAAGAAGGTTTGAGGATTGTTAGTGAGGTGTCATGAGTGCATCACCTCAGCCCTACCCATAACCCCCTCTGCCCCCACACACCTTCCACATCATCTCGGCCTGCTCTGTATTCTGGTCGCGCTGCCGTGTGCCCTCTCTCTCTATCTCTCTTTCCAGCAGTGATGGCTGAAGAACAGAGGGAGGGAGACAAGTGTCAGAGGGAGACCAGCCGATTACCATTTCAGTGCAAACACACACTTTCACGCTTTCAGAGTGACACAACAAACTCGTGCACACATACTGTACATATATATGACATTTTTGTGCCAGGAAACATTTACAGATTAGATGCAGCTGTGTGAATGTGTGTTTGAGAAAGAGTCAAGCAAATCCATGAGTGTTTAAATATGCAGCTGGTACTGGATGTTTCCTTCCCTCTGTCACTCAATATTAAACATCATCCTGCAAGCACACAGACTACATGAGTAACTTTGCTCTCTTCCTCATCTCTATACTACAGTATGACCTCATACATGACAGACAACTTCATCTGTTGGCACTTTATGTCTCAGAGCTGGCTGTTAATAAAACTAGCTTCCCCCCCCCCCC